CGCCAAATGTCTGGCACATCATTCTAATGGATTTCCTTTTCTCTACCATCCAGGTGTATTCCACAGAATGTGTAAACAATCACCTAATGTTTTAAAAAGGCACAAGGATTAGATTAAATTAGAATTGTAATTCGCTGCCTTGCAGTTTGTTGTAAAACAACAACATGGCCCTAAAGCTTCCACTGAGGTTGGAGAAACATTAAGACGACTTCCCCTTTCCTTTAGCTCACATTGATGAATGTCATAGAGACCTTATTAAACTGATTTTATACTTGAACCAGGAGCAGTAAAATGCCTTTTAATACCATCTCTGTGAGGAGAGAAATATTGGATTCACTTAATTGCTTGATCATCTCCAGAAGATTACTCACATTTTAGTACAGTTTTTACCCCAGTAGCTAGGTTTCCATCCAATTGGCGACAGATTTTAATGTGAATATTCTAAAATCAGCATTTTCCCACCAGAGAAGTGTTTCCATCAAATTGACTTGTAGCGGATAAAAGGTTGTACATAATGACATAGTGCACATAAAATAACTTTTGCGGTTAAATTCCCATGTACTGAATAAAAAATACAAGTTAAATGGGTTTCCATCGTATTTTCAACTCTACTGACGGTTTTGTCACAAAAAATGCCCACTCTGGTCTTGGCACGTGCACTCTAGCCAACAGCTGGCAGATACAGTGCGGGTATAGCCTACATGATGAGATTAATATGGACATAAAGAGCAAGATCATATTTATTTGTCGAACGGCAGCCAATTATCGATCATCATGTCATCAGAAGAAGACCCTAGATATTTATTGGAAAGGAGAATCAACCTCATCACCGTGCACTTTCACCACCCTGTGAAGTTCATCATAACTAATTGAATCTGTAGCCTAATAAACTACATTCTTTCCCAAATCGTAGTGGGAGGAGCACATAATACCATCGCATGACTCCAAGTCTACTATCAATATTTGTGCATGAAGGTGTTTGCACTTCCATTTAACGCATAATTATTTCTACCGACAAAAAAAGATCCCAGCATCTTTTGTTTTGTCAACATTTGGAAAGTTTACCGACAAATGTGCTGTGTACATTAGGCCTGTGGTGCTATTTCTTATCCGACATGTACTTTACCTGGTTACTAAGAGAAATTACCCCTGTTGCTAAAGGAGTGAATGTTGATGTCAAACGTGTAAACATTCCCCTAAAATCACATATTTACAACAATGTAGCTAGGTTTCCATCCAATTGGCGACAAATTTTCATGCGAATATTCAAAAATGTACATAAATAAAATATGCGCATTTTCGCAGCAGATAGAATATGCGCATTTTCTCACAAGATACAGTATGTTATGGTGTGGGTTGCATTTTCCTGGCATGGTTTAGGTCCACTTGTAGAATCCAAGGCGAATTGAAGCTGTTCTGCAACACCCTTTTAAGACAATTTATGTTGGTGTTTCCTTAATTTTGGAAGATACCTTTATGTGCTTCTGATGAAACTTAATCCACAGTAATTTTTTATAAAATATTGATCCTCTGTGGCTAAATGATGCTCTCTGGTGTATTTTGAACATTGAGAGCGGGCTTGTGCCCAGCCCCTGAATCACACAATTGACCAGTCACATTTATTAATTATGAAGTTTTTTATTTTTTATTTTTATTAATCAGTTACCCAATCAAGTAAGCCCCAGCATTAATCAGGCTCTGCATATAAAATAGGCTATTTCTCAATCAATTAAAAACATCTTAATTTCTGGTGCTCCTAAATTAAGAGCACCAGTGCTCCCAGCACAATTGGCTCAGCGTCGTCTGGGTTTGGCCGGGGTAGGCCGTCATTGTAAATAATAATTTGTTCTTAACTGACTTGCCTAGTTAAATAAAGGTTAAATAAAAATACAAATTAAATAAAAAATACCAATGAAAAATGTTAATTTAGAGCCCTGCACACAAATACAAATTACAGTTTACTCTTCCAGCGATGCAGGGCCCGGATGTCGACTGAACCAGGGCCTGTCCTGACAGTAATTGTAATCTACTGAGGCTGAAACATGTTTAGTAATCAATCATAGTCTGTTGGTTCTTCACTGTTCTTTGATACTACTAGGCATTGCAGTCAGTTGACTAATGAACATAAAAACGTGTTTACCTTTGCTTCTGGGAAAAAGATGAGGCATACACAATTTTAGGTGGTTGACACATTGATGACAAGTACCTCTTTTACAAGCAGAGGCAGGAAATCAACAGAGTATTTTAGAATACGCTTACTGGAAGCCACACTTTTACACTCATATGCTATTGCTACTCAGTTCTTTATTTTACTCTTATTATTATTATCTATCCTGATGCCTAGTCACAACCTGCCTTCGTGTACATACACTACCGATCAAACGTTTTAGAACACCTACTGCCAAGAGTGTGCAAAGCTGTCATCAAGGCAAAGGGTGGCTATTTGAAGAATCTCAAATATAACATATATTTGGATATGTTTAACACTTTTTTGGTTACTACATGATTCCAGATGTGTTATCTTATAGTGTTGATGTCTTCACTATTATTCTACAATGTAGAAAATAGTAAAAATAAAGAAAAACTCTTGAATGAGTAGGTGTTCTAAAACTTTTGACCGGTAGTGTATCTACCTCAAGTACTTCATACACCTGCACATTGATCTGGTACTGGGACTCCCTGTACAGTGGGGGGAAAAGTATTTAGTCAGCCACCAATTGTGCAAGTTCTCCCACTTAAATAGATGAGAGAGGCCTGTAATGTTCATCATAGGTACACGTCAACTATGACAGACAAATTGAGATTTTTTTTCTCCAGAAAATCACATTGTAGGATTTTTTATGAATTTATTTAGCAAATTATGGTGGAAAATAAGTATTTGGTCACCTACAAACAAGCAAGATTTCTGGCTCTCACAGACCTGTAACTTCTTCTTTAAGAGGCTCCTCTGGCCTCCACTCGTTACCTATATTAATGGCACCTGTTTGAACTTGTTATCAGTATAAAAGACACCTGTCCACAACCTCAAACAGTCACACTCCAAACTCCACTATGGCCAAGACCAAAGAGCTGTCAAAGGACACCAGAAACAAAATTGTAGACCTGCACCAGGCTGGGAAGACTGAATCTGCAATAGGTAAGCAGCTTGGTTTGAAGAAATCAACTGTGGGAGCAATTATTAGGAAATGGAAGACATAAAAGACCACTGATAATCTCCCTCGATCTGGGGCTCCACGCAAGATCTCACCCCGTGGGGTCAAAATTATCACAAGAACGGTGAGCAAAATCCCAGAACCACACGGGGGGACATAGTGTTATTGACCAAATACTTATTTTTCCACCATAATTTGCAAATAAATTCATTAAAAATCCTACAATGTGATTTTCTGGATTTGTTTTTCTCAATTTGTCTGTCATAGTTGACGTGTACCTATGATGAAAATTACAGGCCTCTCTCATCTTTTTAAGTGGGAGAACTTGCACAATTGGTGGCTGACTAAATACTTTTTTTCCCTACTGTATATAGCTTAATTCTTGTGTATTTCTGTTCCTCTTGTGTTATTATTTATATTTTTAAGTCTACACCCGTTGTATTCGGCGTATGTGACAAATACAATTTAAATTTATTTGACATAATTCATTTAACACACTATGGTAGATGTTTCTATTATGTAACATTCAACAACAAAAAAAGTAAAATGTTTGTTCTATATGGATTTATCAACCATTCCCACAATGTTCTTTTGTTCTGGAAAGAACCCATGCTTGATTAACTGTGAGCTGAGGTTCATCATGTGCTCTCTTCAGTGCCCATTGGAGGAGATCGCAACAAAGTATACAGCACCTTGCAAAAGTATTCACCCACCTGTAATGGACATACACAAAATAGTCCAAATTGGTGAAGTGGAATGAAAAAAATAACTCTAAAAAATAACTTTATTCTAAATATAAATAACGGAAAAGTGGTGCGTGCATGTATTCACCCCCTTTGCTATGAAGCCCCTAAATAAGATCTGGTGCAACCAATTACCTTCAGAAGTCACATAATTAGTTAAATAATGTCCACCTGTGTGCAATCTAAGTGTCACATGATCTGTTACTTGATCTCAGTATATATACACCTGTTCTGAAAGGCCCCAGAGTCTGCAACACCACTAAGCAAGGGGCACCACCAAGCAAGCGACAGCATGAAGACCAAGGAGCTCTCCAAACAGGTCAGGGACAAAGTTGTGGAGAAGTACAGATCAGGGTTGGGTTATAAACAAATATCCGAAACGTTGAACATCACACGGAGCACCATTAAATCAATTATTAAAAAATGGAAAGAATATGGCACCACAACAAACCTGCCAAGAGAGGGCCGCCCACCAAAACTCACAGACCAGGCAAGGAGGGCATTATTCAGAGAGGCAACAAAGACACCAAAGATAACTCTGAAGGAGCTACAAAGCTCCACAGCTAAAGCAACACTTGAGTGGTTTAAGGGGAAACATTTAAATGTCTTGGAATGGCCTAGTCAAAGCCCAGACCTCAATCCAATTGAGAATCTGTGGTATGACTTAAAGATTGCTGTACACCAGCGGAACCCATCCAACTTGAAGGAGCTGGAGCAGTTTTGCCTTGAAGAATGAGCAAAAATCCCAGTGGCTAGATGTGCCAAGCTTATAGAGACATACCCCAAGAGACTTGCAGCTGTAATTGCTGCAAAAGGTGGCTCTACAAAGTATTGACTTGGGGGGGGGGGGGGGGGGGGTGTGAATAGTTATTTTTGTCTTATTTCTTGTTTGTTTCACAATAAAAAATATTTTGCATCTTCAAAGTGGTAGGCATATTGTGTACATGAAATGATACAAACCCCCAAAAAATCAATTTTAATTCCAGGTTGTAAGGCAACAAAATAGGAAAAATGTCAAGGGGGTGAATACTTTTGCAAGCCACTGATAGCCTCTTAACAATGAGGTTTAAGCGCCAGAAAGTTATGATGAGATTTAACCCACGACATGAGGTAAATTTGACCTTAATAGGTTCCCATTAAGCATCATACATTCGTTAGTTTTCAAACCATTAAACCTTAACATAGCCGACTTAGGCCTACTCAGCACAAGCTGCTGACGAGGTATACTTGAGCTCTGTTCACTGGATGAATCCTAACTTAAGACAAATTTTCAGTTTAGTCTTCCATTGACATCAATGTATGACGAAGTGAATTGACTTAAGTGAAAGTTAGGATTTGCCCTCTGAGAGCTTGCTTACGGTAACAAGGGATGACACCACAAATAAGAGATCAACAGTGATTTCTGTCACTAACCATAACTAATCATTAGACTCCAGAAGAGCAGGTAGTAAGGTTCCCTTCAGGTCAGAGGTCAGAAGGGTAACACTGATAGCTAGCAGCACCACTGAGAGTGAAGCTCTGTCTCCGCAGCAACACTAAGAGTGAAGCTCTCTGTCTCTGTGTATGACAATCAATTAAACCTTGTTATGTGATCCTGGGTGAGAGGACAGTCTGAGAGGATCGGGAGTGTAGGAGGGTGATGGATGGGGAAGGCAGTGTTTCTGAGGCTGGGGAAGAGGCCCCTCTCCCTGGCCTATCTAGTCTTCTGCAGAGGCCTCCAGGCAGGCAGACACCCTAGGCCCTTCCCTTCCCAGTGCTTCAGACAGATGTTAGGAAAAAGGACTCCAGTCATCGTGCCACTTTTATGGCAGCTTTTTGAATTTTCTTTTATTCTGTGTCAACCTGTCTCAGTCAGTGCAGAGGCAGCTTTATCAACTCAGGCTCGGGAGCTGTGGAGCTGTGGACCTGACCTTTATCTGCTAGATGCTACAGGCTATGTATCACATTAACCACTGGTCTAATCATCAGGGGTTCACAATGTAGCAAGCTGTCAAAACCAAAGTGTTCCTTAAAGTGGCAAATACAACTCACAGCCTTTTTCACAACTTCATTACCCAATCTGGGATTTCCACATCCCCAAACACACACTGCATTAAACACATTCTCCCTGGTGTGTCTCATCACTGCTCAGCTAGTAAATCAGAGTCTGTAGGGAGTACTCGCTGGGGCAGCCATGTTATTATTGTGTAATGTTGTCCACACACACACACACACACACACACACACACACAAGGCACTGTCCGCAGGCTTAAGTCATGGCGTCAGCGGGAGTCGACTAGGGGCAAGCCTATGTGGACCAATCCTTCCCATGTCACCCGTACCTCCCATCTAACACCAGCTCACAGCAACCTCCCAGAGCACTGCAGTGGGGGTTATACCATGCAAAGAAAAGGAAACATAGGGAACATACACCCCCTCCTATCAATAACTATGCATTCTCAACAAACACATATCTGCATAACATGTGGACGAAACAACCACTGTGTGTTTACTGTACTGTATAGTGTTTGTGTTTATGTTAGAAGAACTTGATATCAAGATCATTGTATCATAATTCCCCCATGCAGCCTATGGTGGCTACATAGAATTGAGCAGTCAGGAGAGAGCAGGAAGAGAAGCCCTGTGCTCCATGGTCTCGGCTCCTGAGTGCTGCTGAGCACCCAGCAGGCTTCAAGGGCAAACGGTCATTAAGAAGCCAAGTTTTAATAAGCATGCAGACAGACATGCTGCTACACAGCCCAAGTGCCAGGAAAGGTGATTTTCTTTTGTGCACTCACTACTTTCTCCCTCATGACTCCAGAGATCATGAATGTCCTGCAGCCAAACATCGTTCAGTCTCCAACAGTTACCTGTAACACAGGATGATCAGTAGCTTTTCCGGATACTTTGTCATTATCCGTTGTCTTACATGGATGGGTTGACCCAGTAGTCATGAGATTGTTAGGGCCTTGCTGATAAATTGAGGAAGGCACGGTTGAGGGGATGGTGGGAACATGGACACATCAGTAGGGTGTCAGGCAGCCTCCTTGCTCAAAGGCCTCTCGAGTCCACCCCCACTCTGTTACAGGAGGGGGTCGCAGTTCCGGAGCGATCCACTAGGTGTCCTCCTCCGACAACCTTAGGCACCTTCTCACTCACAGTTTGGACTAATCATGATCCTATTGGTGTCACCTGTGTCTACCTGTTCACCTGTGTATTTATGCCCTCACTTCCCTGTGTTTCCTTGCTCAGTTTTCTCTGCTAGTTTCTCGATGCTCAGCAGTACTACGACTGTCTAAGAAGGAAGCTAGCGGTGGTTTAAATAAATTAAAATAGTAAAAAATTGTTTGTAACTAATATAGAGAAGAGTCGGAGCAGTGGTGCGGGCACTATTCCCCTCGTGGAGATGGCGAAAAATGCAAATTTTAGGGCGATTCCCAGGATTGGGATCACGAACGCAGTTAGGTTTGTGTGGAAGGAGAAGGACATGGAGCCTTTTGGAAGGGAAACATTTGGGAGGACTTTGTTGATGGGAGTGTTAAAGCTGGCGGTAAAGGATGTGATGTGCCTCCAGGCGAACGCCTTGGAAGGGGCTTATGATGTGGTTTTTCACACGGAGGGGAAGCATGACGAGGTCATGAAAAAGGCGAGGGAGGTGGAGAAGGCCAGGCCAATGTGCCACTACGAGGTGACAAGCTTGGCCAAGAACAACTTCAGGGTAATAACAGTAAACATGTATAACCCGCATGTTAAGGATGAGGAGGTGAGGGCTTTTATGGGGAGGTATATGGACAATGTCTCCTCGGCAAGGCTCCTCAAAGACTCGCTACGGTTCTGGAACGGGAGGAGACGCTTCCAGGCTCTGTTGAGGGAAGACCCAAAGGGCCTGGGAGGTTACCTTCATCCTCCAGCTCTGTTCTCCCTGGGGGCTGACAGGGGGACATTGTTTTATGCCCGTCAGCCCCCTTTCTGCAGACAATGCATGGCCTATGGCCATAATTTCGCCTCATGTGGGGCGAAGAAATGCAGGGTGTGTGGGTCTGAGGTACACGAGGTGAGGGACTGTGACGAGTCGAAGAAGTGCCACGGGTGTAGATCGTCAGCACACCTGTGGAGGGAGTGTACGGTTCGTCACAAGTCGTATGCAGCTGCAGCTGGTGGGGGAGCAGGTGCAGGAGTGGGGGATGGAGGAGGCAGAGGAGGAGGAGTTCCAGACCCAAGCGCAGGGCCAGAGGCAATATCATCGACGATGGAGGAGGAGCCAAGAACAGCAGTGGGAGGAGAGGGGGACGGGCAGGGGACTGCCGTAGCAGTTCTGGAAGGAGAGGTGGTGCCGGAGACAGAGACGGAGGGGAGTGTGGGAGAGGAGGTGCCGGAGACAGAGGCGGCGGAAGGAGAGGAGGCCGGGGAGGAGCCAGCCACAGCCCTAGGAGGAGAGGAGAAGGGGGGAGAGGGGGGAACGGAGTGGGGGGGAAAGCGAAATGTCGAGTGCCCAGGGGGATGAGGTGAGGGAGATGATGGAGGAGCTGGTGATCAAGGGGGACTGGGTCTCCCCACTGCCGGCGTCTCCAAAGAAGAGAGGGAAGAGGAGGGGAAGATCCTCAGACAGGAAGAGGGAAATGGGTGGTGGGGGAGAGGGGGGGGGGCAAGCGTGTCATGGGGGAGAAGGGCGCTGTGGGGGAAGAATCTCCTCTGTCCTCGCTGCCCCCCCCCCCACAATGCACAGGGGGGGAGGGCTCAGGATCCCCTGCACTGTTCCCAACCTGTTTTGAGATTGGGGTTTTGGAGGTGGATGGTGGTGAGCCCAGGATGCAGGGAACCCAGGAGCCAAACACCATTCCTGCATCCTGGGTTGGAGAGATGGAGGGGAGTGGGGGGGCATCTGGGGTGGAGTCGGAGTCCCTACAGGAGGAGATGGAGCAGGGGAACATCAGGTGAGCCTCCTGTTTAGTTTTTTGGGGTTTAGTAGGTTGTAATTTGTGAAATGTATTATGGCAGGGATTATTTTTGTTACTTTAAATGTGAGGGGAATAAGGGAGGATGTTAAAAGAAGGGCGGTTTTGGGGTATTTAGAGGGGGTGGGTTTTGATGTTTGTTTTATACAGGAGGTTCACCTAAGGGATAGTGGGGATGTAATAAGGTTTAAGAGGGAGTGGGACAAGGGAGAGTCGGTTTGGGGTATAGGGGGGTGCACTCATCGGGGGTAGGGATTTTGTTTGGGAATAGGGAGGTGAAGGTGGAGGGCACTTTGGTAGGTATGTGTCAGGCGTCAGTGTGTAGCGGTAGGATGGAGTCAGGCGCAGGACACAGAGCTAGTAGCCAACGTACTTTACTCATGAAAATAAATTAACATAATCTCCACGCAGGGAGGACAAATCCCGCTCACCAGTCTATGACACCAAACATAGAACAAACACGCACACAACACAGTGGGAGACAGAGGGTTAAATAGGGAACAAATCATGAACATAATGGGAACCAGGTGTGAACAATAAAGACAAAACAAGTAGAACACAGAAACATAGATCGGTAGCAGCTAGTACTCCGGTGACGACGAACGCCGAAGCCTGCCCGAGCAAGGAGGAGGGCCAGCCTCGACAGTACAGGGGAGGGTTTTGGGGGTGGATGTCACAGTAAGGGATGATAGATATAGGGTAATTGTGGTGTACAGGCCACAGTTGGCGGCAGGCAGGAGGGAGATGGTGGACTGCCTGGCGCCGCTGTGTGCCACGAATAGACACTTGGTGATAGGGGGGGATTTTAATATAGATATAGGGAGGGGGAGGGACAGTAGTGCAGGTGCCATCGCCGGGCTAATGGTCGTGCCATGGTCTGGTAGATGGGGGCCTGCACACTGCTCCGACGATGGCAGGTCCAACATGGCGCAACTCCAGAGGGGTCGAGCGGAGGCTCGACTATATTTTTCTGGGCGTTTGTTGCCTGTGTTTTTTTGGGGGGATCACGACGGGGTGCTGCTGCAGGTGGGGGCACCAGTCTGCCTCTTCGGTAGGGGGTACTGGTAGTTAAATAGGGAGGTACTGGATGAGCAGGCTTTCGTTAACAGTTTTGTTGATTTCTTTAGGGGGCTTGAGGGCATCCGGTCCATCTGTGAGGGGGTGTTAGAGTGGTGGGAAATAGGAAAGGTGAGGATTAGGGTTTTTATAATAGGATATTGTAAGAGGAAAAAGAGGGAGGAAAGGAGGGAGGTGGATCACATCAAAAGGCTGCTCAATCTCGAGCTCGAGGCGGGCAACCTCGGCGGGTCGGTAGACTGGGAGAGATCCTCTGCCCTAAAGGCACAATTTAGGGAGGTGCATGAGCGGAAGGCTCGCGCTTTCCTGGAGCGTGCGCATAGTGGGTTTTTAGAACATGACGAGACTTGTTCCGCTGTGTTCTTTAAATCAGTTAGGGGAAGACAGAGTAGGAAGGTAATGTACGGGGTTAGGGAAGAAAACGGTCGAGTACTGAGAGAAACTGAGGAAATGGTCAAGGTGACCACGGAACATTTCTGAGGTTTTTTCAAGAAAGGGCAGTAGATGTAGAGCAGGGAAACATGTTTTTAGAACACCTGTCCCGGCGAGTGCCAGAGGACATTAGAGAAGTGATGGAGGCTCAGATCTCCCTCGAAGAGGTTGAGAGCGCCCTCAGGAGGATGGGAAAAGGGAAGGTGCCCGGGATGGATGGGCTGCCGGCTGAGTTTTACCTGAAGTTTTGGGGGAAACTTGGTCCTGTAGTCCTTGAAGTCTTGAAGGCCATCCTCGAGACGGGGATCCCGGGGGGATCGATGGCCGTAGGTGTGCTGTCACTTCTTTACAAGAAGGGGGATACAACAGACCTTGGCAACTGGCGGCCGTTGACCATGCTGTGCGTAGATTATAAGCTGCTTGCGAAGGTTCTAGCGGACCGGTTGCGCACAGCCCTTCCCTACGTCGTCCATGAGGATCAGACGTGTTGGATAGAGGGCCGCTCTATTAGGTGGAACCTGAGTTTGATTAGGGACTACATTGCTTGGGTAGAGGATAGAGGGCTGCCGTTAATGGTAGCAGCACTTGATCAGGCTAAAACCTTTGATCGAGTGAATAGATATTTTCTTTTCAGGGTGTTAGGTAGGTTAGGTTTTGGGGAGAAGTATATAGGGTGGATCCGTGCTTTATATGTCAGAGCAGGGTGCCGGGTTAATGTAAATGGTCACATGGGTGACATTTTTGACCTTGCGTCGGGGGTCAGGCAGGGGTGCCCGCTCTCGGCACTCCTCTTTGTTCTGTACATGGAGCCTCTGGGGGCTGCCATTAGGGCAGACACAGGGGTGGAGGGCTTGCTTATCCCTGGGAGCGGTGGGCTGCACGTTAAGATGACGCAGTATGCCGACGACACTTCCTTGTTACTATGCAAGGACTCGTGCCTGACTAGGTCCCTTGCCATCATTGGGGAATTCACCCGAGCGTCGGGAGCGGTTCTCAATCACGCTAAGTCTTCCGTTAAGTTTTTCAGAAGATGGCGTGGGTCAACAAGATCCCTGAAGATTCTCGGGGTCTTGTTTGAGACCTCTGGCTCAGCGACGCTGAACTGGAACAGGAGCATCGCAGTGGTACAGAGGAAGCTGGGGATGTGGAGGGCTAGGTCGTTGTCCTTTATAGGCAAGGTCCTGGTCCTCAAGGTGGATGTGTTGCCGTCTCTTTTGTATATGGCGTACGTCTACCCATTGCCAGCTAGTCTGAGGAGGCCTCTAGTAAGGCTAGTGTTTCAGTTCATGTGGGGTGGCAGGCTCGAGCGTGTCGCGAGGGTTCACATGCTCTGTCCCATTGGGGAGGGAGGTAGGGGTGTACCACATTTCCCCCTCAAGCTGGACTCGATTTTTGTTTCTTATTTGTTGACTGAGCTGGCTCATCCGGTAATACACCCGTGGTCAACCTGGTTACTTCCTGCGGGTGTTCTTCTCTTACCAGGCGAGAAGCGTAATGGTGTGGACTAACACGGGTCCTCGGGTGGAACAGCTGCCATGGCACTTTGGCTATGCGGCCAAGTGGCTGCGTGGTCACCCCGAGGTTGAAGTTGCCCGAGTAGGTTTAGATCACAGGCACCTGTATGAGGAGGTGAGACGGGGAGGGTGTCCCGGGCCAGTATTGGGTATCCCGGCTGTGGTTTGGGAAGGAGTGCAGGTGCGAGGTCTGGATAACAGGCTCAAGGACCTGAATTGGTTGAGCCTCCCTAAGGGCTTGCCCGTACATTCCATCTTGTACGGGCGTGGCATGACTCGATCCCCCACCTGCCCAAGGCCAACTTGTGGCGGGGAGGAGACATTGCGCCATGTTTTTGGGGGCTGTGCTTTCGCCGGGGTGGTATGGGCTAGGGCACAGGTGTTGATAGGCAGGGTGAGGGGGGATTTTGTTGTGACATGGGCTAGGGTAGAGAGAGGTGTAGGGAAAGCGAGGGGGACGGTTAGGGACAGGTTTCTGCTCTGGCTTCTCATAAGCCTCTTTAAACGGGGGTTGTGGGAAGCTAGGCAGAAAATGGAAAGGACAGGGAGAGAAGGGGGTGTGGAGGGGATAGTGAGGAGGGTGGAGCAGAATTTGAGGGGGAGAATGAAGAGAGAGGAGAGGAAGTGGGGGCAGCATGCTGCTCGGGAGAGGTGGAAGGGGGGTTTAGGATTAGGGTTAGTGTAGAGGGGTAGGGATTTAAGATTTGTGTGTGTGTTTTTAGCTGGGTATAAAGGGGGAGGGAAGGTGCTCCCCTGGGGTGTAATTTCTGTTATTGTTCGGTTTTGTGGGTGTTTGATATATATTGTGGTGGGTAGTTTTGTATTGTTATTTTTAGTGATGTTGGGGTTGGGAATTAATGGTGTGTGTAATGTGTATGATGATGTATGGTGTGGATTTTTGAATAAAACCTTTTAATCACTAATCAGTGTCTGAGCGGAGAAGTATGTACAGGTACTCGAGAAGTGTTCTCCCTGTTTCTTTATTATTTAAGTCGTAGTTACTATTTCGTATTTTGGCTGTCTGCCTGTTTTTTTAGATTTATTTGCTCCACCTTTCTGTTATCGTGTTAAGTCCGTTGTTTTGTATCCTGGCTTCGGGACCACCAGTAAAGGTCCTTGTTTCACCATCTCTGCCTACTGCCTACTGTCTATCCTGCACCGCACCTGGGTCACACCTCACACCAACCCTTACACCACTCCCTCACAAATTTACACCAGATGTATTGTACACCATAACCTTCACCCCGCAGGAATACTTTGAATAGCTCTCAATTCAGATTAAACTTAAAATACACACAGAGGTATGCCAGAAACAGGAGTGTAATATAACTGTACTAGAAAAGTAGTACTATAACAGTCATGTGTTACACTGTATGCACTGATGGTGGATGGATAGTAAGAGATGATGACAGTAGGGAAAGATAGAGCGAGGTTGTGTCAAAGGGCAGTAGGTTGGATCAAGGGGTAGTAGGTAAGGAGGCGGTGGCATTACCACTAGACCAGCCAGCCCATGTAGGTTAGCCACGCCATGATATTAATCATGTTTCATTCATATCGTTGGGATCTCAAAACCCTCTCCTGTCAAAGTGAGTCACCCAGTTTCAGTCCTTTCACTGTCCTTTTCAGATTTGGCCCATGCAGGGAATTGTTCTATTGGAAAAGGTGAATTATAAAGGGCAGGGTGACAGCTGAGGAGAAAGGCATCTGACGACAGACACAACAAATATCACAACCTGTGAACGAACAAGATAATATTTCACAATTATCTTTCAGCATTTTGTCCTTAACTGTGCTGACTCCTGGAATGTGGGCAGAAAGCAGCAACGCAGGTAAACCCTGAGAAATGAAACAAGCATTTTACCTTGTTACGTTGTTTTACATAATGATCCTCAGATAGTGTACCTATACTTCCTGTTGCGAATGAGAAGAGTTAAAGATACAGGGAGACACACTTTACAAATATAGGTTACATCTTTTAATTTACTGTCGGGGAGGTGTTAGGTTAATGATCTTCAGCTGCCCTATGGCTGTTGGGAATCATATCTTTCATTCAGAAAAGAGTGTGTCTAAATTAAGTGGGTGTCTTTAGAAGTAGGACCATATGGCTTTCAATTGTTTCACAAAATATAGTGTGTTTTGACTGAGCTGATGAAGGCCAGTCAGTTTTCACAAATTAGGATTGGCCTGTGGCACTAATATACAGCCCTGTTTACCATGGATGTATCCAGAGCATTCTCAGGATCCCTTTGAAAATAAACACAGACTCAGTCGCGTTTGGCACCATGACTATGCACATTCTAAGAAGACAGAGTTTCCTCACTCATGAAATGGACAGCAGAGGAGAGTTGGCAGAGAAATCAGTGATTTCCATAAGGGTTGGATTACACTAAGGGATGTAGTAGTGGACATGTTTGTGTTTGTCCTACTGTTTCCTTCAGCCACCTTTGTGTTTTCTTCCCCCTTATGGATAGTCTGTGACTGTGTGATGAGAAGCTGAATAATTGCTGGCTGTGATCACTTGGTGAGGGACATGTTTTCTGGTTGGAGACTGATCTGCTTATCAGATCACTTCATCCTGCTTAATGATGATGGATGGTGTCGGCTAAAACATACATTTTAAATTGGAAATCTTTACAAAGTATTATTCATTATATTCAGAAAGGCATACAGGACCAAATCTGGATTCAACCTGTGGTGTTGACTGACCAAGGCCTAACTAAATAGAGAATACTCAATAGCTTTGGCAAAGGTGCAAAAGTACTACATTAGGTCACTTTATAAAGTATCTCTATTGTTATGACATCTTTGTTCTTGAGTGAAAGGGGGAATGAAAAAAGTATGGCGTACACTGTACAAACTAATTCTGAAAATTAGAACTGCAATAAGTGCTGTACAGGTAAGCCAAGTAATTTGGGAATGTATAGTATGTTGTACATATCATAAGATCCTATCATATCCAAGTATGTAGACCAAATATACACTGAGTGTACAAAACATTAGGAACACCTTCCTAATATTGAGTTGCACCCTCTTTTGCCCTCAGAACAGCCTCAATTCGTCGGGGCATAGACTCTACAATGTGTCGAAAGCATGTTGGCCCATGTTGACTCCAATGCTTTCCACAGTTGTGTCAAGTTGGCTGTGTCAAGTTGGCTTTGGGTGGTGGACCATTCTTGATATACAAGGGAAATTGTTGAGCGTGAAAAACCCAACAGCGTTGCAATTCTTGACACACTCAAATCGGTGCGCCTGGCACCTATTACCATACCCTGTATAAAGGCACTTAAATATTTTGTCTTTCCCATTCACCCTCTGAATCGCACACATACACAATCCATGTCTCAATTGTCTCAAGGCTTAAAAATCCTTCTTTAACCTGTCTCCTCCCCTTCATCTACACCAGGGATGGCAACTTTGATGGGGATGGGGCCACAAAAATCCTGAACTTATCATGAGGGGCCGCAGTGTTAAACATTTTAACAGCCTCCCTCGTGACAGCGAAGAGACATTTGTATTTTCTTTAAAGTTCATTTCCTGCAATTCTACTCATTTTTCCATGGGGCGGAGAGAAACGTTTGAGGTTGTCCAGCTACTTTCTTGCAATTATACACATTTTGCCATAGGATGGAGGCAAATGTTTGCAGTTTGCTAGACTAACTTACCAATCCCAAAAGAAATTGCTGACATGGGGTAATTGAGTGACTGCTGATGTGCAACCAAATTTCTAAATTGCACCTTGTGTAGTCTAATATTCTAACTCTCAACAGTCAGTTGAGAACCCGACTGATTTTTGATTGGTCCACGGGCCTACAACATGCGGTGACATCAATAAGGAATCATAGCTTTCACCTGGTCAGTCTATCTCATGGAAAGAGCAGGTGTTCCTAATGTTTTGTACACTCAGTGTATATGCACAATACAGAAGCCAGTTCCATTGAAATAAGGATAAAATCAAGAGACATGAATCATCACGGTCACTGGTACAGTCTAGAAATACATTACATGACCAAAAGTATGTGGACACGTGCTTGTCGGACATCTCATTCCAAAGTTATGGGCATTAATATGGAGTTGGTCCCCCCTTTGCTGCAATAACAGCCTCCACTCTTCTGGGAAGGCTTTCCACTAGATATTGGAACATTGCTGCAGGGACTTGCTTCCATTCAGCCACAGAATCATTAGTGAGGTCGGGCACTGATGTTGGGCGATTAGGCTTGGCTCGCAGTCGGCGTTCCAATTCATCCCAAAGGTGTTCGATGGGGTTGAGGTCAGGGCTCTGTGCAGGCCAGTCAAATTCTTCCACACCGATCTCGACCAACCATTTCTGTATGGACCTCGCTTTGTGCACGGAGGAATTGTCATGCTGAAACAGGAAAGGGCCTTCCCCAAACTGTTGCCACAAAGTTGGAAGCACAGAATTGCCTAGAATGTCATTGTATGTTGTAGCGTTAAGATTTCCCTTCACTGGAACTAAGGGGCCTTGCCCGAACCATGATAAACAGCCCCAGACCATTATTCCTCCTCCAATAAACGTTACAGTTGGCACTATGCATTGGGGCAGGTAGCGTTCTCCTGGCATATGCCAAACCCAAATTCGTCCATCGGATTGCCAGATGGTTTAGCGTGATTCATCACTCCAGAGAACGCGTTTCCACTGCTCCAGAGTCCAATGGCGGCGAGCTTTACACCACTCCAGCTGACGCTTGGCATTGCACATGGTGATCACATGGAAACCCCTCATGAAGCTCAGACGAACAGTTATTGTGCTGACGTTGCTTCTAGAGGCAGTTTGGAACTTGGTAGTGAGTGTTGCAACCGAGGACAGACTAATTTACCACGCTATGCGCTTTAGCACTCAGTGGTCCCGTTCTGTGAGCTTGTGTGACCTACCACTTGGCGGCTGAGCCATTGTTGCTTCTAGACGTTTCCACTTCACAATAACAGCACTTACAGTTGACTGGGGCAGCTCTAGCAGGGCAGACATTTTACAAACTGAATTGTTGGAAAGGTGGCATCCTATGACGGTGCCACATTGAAAGTCACTGAGCTCTTCAGTAAGGCAATTATTGTCTATGGAGATTGCATGGCTGTGTGCTCAATTTTATACACCTGTCAGTAACGGGTGAGACTGAAATTGCCGAATCAACTAATTTGAAGGGGTGTCCACATACTTTTGTATATATAGTGTAGCTAACTGGTCATGCTCATATTCTAACCATAGCTTATACAATACAACCACACACAAGACCATAACCTTGGACTAAAGTTATTTCTAAACGAATGCCATTATGTAATAAACTCATTCATTCAAGTTAATGACCATGCCAAACCTCAATGAAGAAGCCTTTATGGTCAAAGTCTGCACTAATATAATGGGTTTTCTTGCCACAGAAAGGTTAGTTTAGACAGAGTTCTCTAAAGACGCAACACACAGAAAATTACATGTTCAAACCATGGTGTGTTTGTACAGTGTGGCATATCTGACAAAGTTTGAATCTCCCTCCAGGCTGAGCTGTCTGCCTGGGCTGACTGTCTGACCCGATGCTGAGAGCCCGGCTAGGAGGTTGAGCCCCCTCTGTGACGGCAGCAGTCTGGAATGGGCTGCTTCAAAAGGCAACAGGGCTTCCATGACTTTAATGAATTATCACTGCTAACTGGCCCTGTGAAGAGTGACACTGGGAAAAAGCAGAGAGAGAAGGGTCAAGTCTTTAATCTCAGAATTGCTCCATCCTGCATGAGCGTGTGCACGTGTGTGAGCGAGAGAACGAGACAGAAGAAAGACGAGAGAGAAGGAGAGAGATCCCTGCTACAAATCATAAATCAATAATAACTCACCTACTGTCCTCTCAGTTAGGGCCTCCAGCAGCTGTTACTATTTCCTTTCCACCTGCCTCCACCCCACAATGCCCTGCAAATTAACGTCCCTCCGATCAGGTTCTGCGTCTCTGCAGCCTGGAGAAGAAACATCAACGGGCCTCTCTGAACTACAGCCCTGTCCAAAGGAAGAAAACAAATCAGGTGCCTGTCAGTCTCTCCTCTGTCAATCAACACAGAAGGGCAATATACTGTATGTATTTTCAATTCATGAATTTATGCGCATACTGACATTCCCAGGCAACTTGTCTTCCTCTTTTGGACATCAAGATGATTCCATTGCATTCTATTCATCTGACGTTGATGTTGATGTTGTCACTGGTAATTATTAGAGTAATAATACATTTTAAAGTTAAGTCATCTCCAGATGTTTCTCATCTTTGATGTCTGATTCATAGACCATTCTACAGCTCAAATCAGTCAAAATGCCTGAGGCAGTTTTGAAATTACAACTGCTTTAATACATAAGCTAATAACAACGCCGTCTCTCAACTTTACTCAACCTTGCTACACATTTTACTTTGACTTACTGAAAAGTCTGAAATCGGTCCAATAAACTTTTCTTGGTAAAGAAGAAAAAAGCTTTGAAATAGGCACGGATCATCTTAATGAAAGAGTAAAGGTAGTTGTTAAAAATACAAATCTTTTTACACGTTTCTCCCTGATATTCCTGTTCGAACAGTGTGATGACTCTCAGAGGACCTCCGCTGCTGAGGCTTCTCTTCCAATCACCATAAAAGAAAAATATACAGCCAACTCCTTTCACGTCTCTCTCCAAACAAAGTCAAAACAGTCTGCCATGGCTGTGGGCCTTCTCATGTATCTCACATGTATCTGGATGTTATCATCATCATCACATTGGGTGGCTGACACTTTTAAACAGGAAGAGGCTCCTGCACTGACCAGCAGCACTAACACAGTTAGCAGAGAGGATGGTGGGACCTGGTAATAACTAAGGGACCAACAGCATCATAATGTGTTGAGAGATGGAGAGAAGCATGGAAACACTCCACCTTTGCCCTCATACAATAATCAGGAATTAGCTCAGCACTGAGAGGACAGTGGAAATCAAGGACTTTCATGAACCGGTTAATTTTCTAGTGAAATACTTCCAAGCAGTGAGATTATACATATGCTAACTTACCTTGCATGCACCCTCAAAATATATTACATAAGCTGTCAAGCTGAAACATTTCTGAACTAACCTATACGTGCAGACACAAATAGCTGGACTCAAATCAGCCTTACCACACATCATAGCCTCATATAGATTGAGTGGTGGTGGCATGGAGGCAGTATAGTTACCTAATAGTATTCAGTCAATCTTCCAGTCGTGTTGAACAGAGCCTCGCCCTGTTCTCTGTTACCGCACCACCAGGGTGGTCCCATGAATCTGCAGGCTGTTGAGAAGGCTTGGCAGAGGATATCACCATGCCAGGGCCAGACAGACAGGAACACACTTCACTGACTCAGCAGTTTTCAGCAGGCGTACTCTCCCTGGTCCCTCTGTCCAGCCCCACCCACCTTGTCCCTCCACCCCACCTATCCTCCACATCAGCCCTCCTCTGTCTCTCAGCAGAGGCACGTCCCTCTGTTTCCCCTGCGTAGCTCCAGCCCTGCTCAGTGCCAGCCCAGACACATGCACCACTGTCCTGGCCGAGCTAAATGCAAGGCTGAGCAGCTTCCTTATTTGGCAAATTTCTACGTCCTGTCTTTAGTGCTCCTTTCAAACCCCTGTAAAAAAATATATATATTCCTCTCCTGCCTACGCTGTGTGCGATTGCTCTAGCAACAAAACGTGATTGGGAGGGGGCATCATAGTACAGTACCATTACTGACTGACCCACACAAAGAGGTGCCACTGATAGTGGGCTTATGATACATGTGGTGATACATGTGGTCACCAGATGTTGCTGTTGTTGTGGTTGTTCAGTTGTTGACATATTTATCAATTTTAAACCTCCTCTGCTCTAGTTGGGGGAAAGCAGGGGAAAATAATATGAATACATTCTCCACAGACTAGATCAACTTTGTGATTACAGTTCTCATAGACACTTGGTGCTGCACGTGCTCACTCCTCTCTCTGGCACAGAGGCTCCCACTACCATACCACAGCTCCTTGACATGGAGAGACTCATCCACAGACCGCAACACAACCACTGTGGTGTGTCTGTGTCTACAGTGGAGAACAAGGCTCAGCCTCTCAATGAGGAACAGGGGTTAAAAATAATCCAGGCAGAGCATGCTCGATTACGAGAGACAGAGAATTGATATCTCGCTAATTTGCAGATTGCACTAAATCTAACTTAAACCAACACTACTTTGAACTTCCATAAAATAAGGTTCCCGGTCATGACAAAGTTCATTGTCATCAACTGTTACAGCAGAATCCCATTCCAGGGATTTACTAAGGGAAGTAAAACAAATATACTGTAAATTAAGCCCTGTGTGTCACCAGGGGAACTGCAACAGAAGCAGGAAATGTACAACAGTGTCAAGAATGCTGTAGGTGGGTGTAGTGGTGGAATCAAGCGCAGGACACCGAAGTATAGTCCAAAAGACTTTAGTGCAATTTCCAACAAGGAAAATCGAACAAACTTGCCCGAAGGCGAAACTACGCACGAAGGCGACAAAACAAAAGGCGCACTAAACATGTGCGTAAACGCTCCAACACAGTGGAGTAAAGCTCAACCGAGCGAATAAGCAATATACAAGCACAACACACGACAGAAATAAATCAATCACACACAACACTAGACAAACACAACGAGAAACTTATAGGACACTAATTACACTAAACGAGAACAGGTGTCACAACAAACAGACAAAAGCAAACGAACATGAAACATACAACGGTGGCAGCTAGTATTCCGGAGACAACGAACGCCGAAGCCTGCCCGAACAAGGAAGAGAGGCAGCCTCGGCCGAAACCGTGACAGTACCCCCCCCTTGACGCGCGGCTCCAGACGTGCGCCGACTCCGGCCTCGGGGACGACCAGGAGGACGCGGAGCAGGGTGCGTCGGGTGCCCACGATGGAATTCCGTCAGGAGAGACGGGTCCAAAATGTCTCTCCTCGGCACCCAGCACCGTTCCTCCGGACCGTACCCCTCCCACTCCACTAGATATTGGAGACCCCCCATCCGACGTCTCGAATCCAAGATGGACCTCACGGAGTACGCCGGTGCCCCCTCGATGTCCAATGGGGGCGGAGGAGTCTCCCTGATCTCACTTTCTTGGAGTGGGCCAGCTACCACCGGCCTGAGAAGGGACACATGGAACGAGGGGTTAATACTTTTATATTCAACAGGTAGTTGTAATTTGTAATACACCTCGTTCAACCTTCTCAGGACTTTAAATGGCCCTACAAACCGCCGACCCAGTTTCCGACAGGGCAGGCGGAGGGGCAGGTTTCTGGTAGAGAGCTAGACTCGATCACCAGGTGCGTACACCGGTCCCTCACTGCGGTGGAGATCGGCGCTCGCCTTATGACGTCGGAGGGCCCGCTGCAGGTGGACGTGTGCAGCGTTCCATGTCTCCTCCGAGCGCCGCGCCCACTCATCCACCGCAGGAGCCTCGATCTGGCTCTGCTGCCAAGGTGCCAGAACCGGCTGGTAACCTAACACACATTGGAAAGGGGTTAGGTTAGTGGAGGAATGGCGTAGGGAATTCTTTGGCCATCTCGGCCCAGGGAACGTACCTTGCCCACTCCTCCGGCCGGTCCTGGCAGTATGTTCTAAGAAACCTACCCACATCCTGGTTCACGCGTTCCACCTGCCCATTACTCTCCGGGTGGTAACCCGAGGTGAGGCTCACCGAGACCCCCAACCGCTCCATAAAGGCTCTCCAGACCCTGGAGGTAAATTGGGGACCTCGATCAGACACAATATCCTCGGGTACCCCGTAGTGCCGGAACACATGGGTGAATAGTGCTTCGGCAGTTTGCAGGGCGGTAGGAAGGCCCGGCATGGGGAGCAAATGACAGGCCTTAGAAAACCGGTCCACAACGACCAGTATAGTGGTATTCCCCTGTGAAGGAGGAAGGTCAGTAAGGAAATCCACCGAGAGGTGAGACCATGGTCGTTGTGGAACGGGCAGGGGTAGTAACTTACCCCTAGGCAGATGTCTAGGCGCCTTACACTGGGCGCACACCGAGCAGGAGGAAACATAAACCCTCACATCCCTTGCCAACGTGGGCCACCAGTACTTGGTACTAAGACAGTGCACTGTCCGGCCGATACCAGGGTGTCCAGAGGAGGGTGACGTGTGAGCCCAATAGATCAATCGATCCCGAACCTCGAGCGGAACGTACTTCCGACCCTCCGGGCATTGCGGTGGACTAGGGTCGGTGCGTAACGCCCGCTCGAGCTCAGCATCGACCTCCCACACTACCGGTGCCACCAGACACGACTCCGGCAGTATGGGAGTGGGCTCCACGGACCTCTCCTCCGTGTCATACCGCCGAGACAGTGCATCTGCCTTACCGTTCTGTGACCCAGGGATGTACGTGATCTTAAATGTAAACCGGGTCAAAAACATATTCCATCTTGCCTGGCGAGGGTTCAGCCTCCTCGCTGCCCGGATGTACTCCAGGTTACGGTGGTCCGTCAAAATGAGGAAAGGGTATTGAGCCCCCTCAAGCCAGTGCCTCCACACCTTTAGGGCCTGTACCACGGCTAACAGCTCCCTGTCCCCTACGTCATAGTTTCGCTCCGCCGGACTGAGCTTCTTGGAATAAAAAGCACAGGGGCGGAGTTTAGGTGGCGCGCCTGACCGTTGTGAAAGCACGGCTCCTATACCGGCCTCAGACGCGTCCACCTCTACCTGAAATGGCAAAGAGGGATCCGGATGCGCCAGCACCGGGGCCGAGGTAAACAGGTCCTTCAGCCTCCCAAACGCCCTGTCCGCCTCGGCAGACCACTGCAGACGCACCGGACCCCCCTTCAAAAGAGACGTGATGGGAGCTGCCACCTGTCCAAAACCCCGGATAAACCTCCGGTAGTAATTCGCAAACCCCAAAAACTGCTGCACCTCCTTCACAGTGGTTGGTGTTTGCCAATTACGCACGGCTGACACCTGGTCTACCTCCATCTTCACCCCTGACGCAGACAACTGATACCCCAAAAAGGAGACCGACTCCTGGAAAAACAGACACTTCTCTGCCTTAACATACAGGTCGTGCTCCACCAGCCTCCGCAACACTCTGCGCACCAGGGCCACATGCTCGACACGGGTAGGCGAGTACACGAGAATGTCATCTATGTACACAACCACCCCCTGTCCCTGCATGTCCCTGAAGATCTCATCCACGAATGATTGGAAAACTGACGGAGCGTTCATCAACCCGTATGGCATGACAAGATACTCGGAATGGCCCGAGGTGGTACTAAAGGCTGTCTTCCATTCATCGCCCTCCCTGATGCGCACCAAGTTGTACGCGCTCCTGAGATCTAATTTAGTGAAGAAACGCGCCCCATGCAATGACTCAGTCATGGTCGCAATCAGCGGGAGTGGATAACTGTACTTCACCGTGATCTGATTGAGACCACGGTAATCGATGCACGGGCGTAAACCACCATCCTTTTTCTTCACAAAAAAGAAACTCGAGGACGCAGGGGAAGTGGAAGGCCGTATGTATCCTTGTCTCAGAGATTCGTCTATGTAAGTCTCCATAGCTTTCTTCTCCTCCTGAGACAGAGGATACACATGGCTCCGTGGGAGCGCAGCTCCTGCCTGGAGGTCTATCGCACAATCTCCCTGCCTATGGGGCGGCAACTGCGTCGCCCTCGACTTACTAAACGCAATAGCCAAATCCCCATACTCAGGGGGAACGTGCAATGCGGGCACCTGGTTTGGACTCTCCACCGAGGTAGCCCCTACGGAAACGCCCAAACATCGACCCACACACTGGGCAGACCACTCCATCAGAGCCCTCTCCTGCCACGAAATAGATGGGTTATGGGTACTCAACCAGGGCATGCCCAGCACCACCGGATACGCAGGCGAGTCGATCAGAAATAGCTGAATCATCTCCTGATGACCCCCCTGCGCACACATCCTAAGTGGCGCAGTGACCTCCCTGATCAAGCCCGCACCCAACGGACGGCTATCTAGGGCATGAATGGGGAAAGGGACATCAACAGGGAGAAGGGGAATCCCTAAGGCTAAACAAAACTTCTTATCAACAAAATTCCCAGCCGCGCCTGAATCTACCAGCGCCTTATGCTGGGAATGAGGTGCTACCTGTGGAAAACGCACAGGTATACAGAAATGTGCAACAGAGAGCTCTGGGTGAGTGGGGCGCCTACTCACCTGGAAGGAATCCCCAGTGCGGGACCTGTCGTCCTCTCCCCTAGGAGGCCATCCCCAGCACCTAGCCACGGTGTGTCCTCCCCGACCACAGTTGGTGCAGGAGATGGACCCCCTCGTAAGCCGACCCCTCCTCTCTCTAGCGCCAGCGCCCCCGAGCTCCATGGGGCACGGCTCGGAGGCGCTGGAGGGTGAAATGGACGGACCCCCCTCGGAACGTCCGCGGGTAGCTAGCAGGTTATCCAGCCTGATGGACATGTCGACCAACTGGGTCCTCTGTAGCTCAGCTGGTAGAGCACGGCGCTTGTAACGCCAAGGTAGTGGGTTCGATCCCCGGGACCACCCATACACAAAAATGTATGCACGCACGACTGTAAGTCGCTTTGGATAAAAGCGTCTGCTAAATGGCATATTATTATTATTATTATTATTATTATTCCACCCTGCATCCGCCGCTAGAGTACGGAATTCTAGGGCGAACTCCTGGGCACTCCTCTTCCCCTGCCGGAGGAAGACCAGACGCTCCCCCGCCGCTTTCCCCTCCGGGGGATGGTCAAACACCGCCCTGAAGCGGCGGGAGAACTCGTCGTAGGTGATGGTGTCCGCGTCGATCCTCCTCCACTCCGCGTTGGCCCATTCCAACGCCTTCCCGGAAAGGCAGGAGATCAGGGCAGACACGCTCTCATGTCCCGAGGGCGCCGGGTGCACGGTGGCCAGGTACAGCTCCACCTGGAGAAGGAATCCCTGACACCCGGCCGCGGTCCCATCGTAGGCCCTCGGGAGCGAGAGTCGAACTCCTCTGGGTTCCGGAGCGGGAATGGGCTGACTGGCCGATGGTGCTGGCAGAGAGGATGGCGGTGGAGGAGTCCCCCAGCCTCGGATGGTGGTGATCACCTCCTGCAGTGCGGACCCCATCTGCAGGATCTGGTCACTCTGTTCACGGACCTTGTCCTCCAGCGTCGCC